TACGAATGCATTATTGTTTTCAATCAATCCAAGAAAAAGCAGCAAACAATAATTTATTATATTCAGTATAAATTTTAGTAGATTTAATCAAGGATACTTAAGGCATTCTAATAAAGAGTTCAATCATCCAAAACAGGCTCCTCAATTTACAAGACGCCGACATCATAGGAGATACTGCGATGCACTCCCGCATCGTGGTGCCATTGAGAATGATGTAGGGAACCTGAACTCCCTCGACGAATCCCGCCGTTTAATTTAACCGATAAGAGAGATACGGCGTAGAAAGCTACTGGCAGTAGTTTACGAGCCATAAACGATTTTTCTTCATTTACGAAATTCTCACGTATACCCGGTGGACCATGTAAACAGTATCACATAAATGTCTCAGATGCTCGTAGATGAAACAAATTTTGTAACTCATTAAACTGTCGAAACTAGCAAATAAAATGATAGAAAAGAGAGAAAAATTATAAATATCTTTCTGTAAAAAATACACGAAATTTTACTTACAATTAGACGAAAGAGCAACAAATTTAAGTTTATAAAATTTTTGTTTCAAAGTACGTTAAATAATATTTGGATTTAATTACTCGAAACAGGTGGCCTTAATGCATGATTATATGCAATGAATACGTGTTAATTTCCATCAGCTACAATTACTCTTTTCGTATTATCATCTTATTGGATATATTAAATTGTTTAACGTCAAAAATAATTAAAAAATAACATAAAAATGTAATACGTAACTGATTTTAATACATCGTATGATAGTTTACGATTCATCATGTACTTATTAAGAACGTTTTCTCAAGATGTTGGAAGCAATAAAGTAAATTGTTAACGTCGAAAAGTATACAATATAGTTCGTCGCTCTGTAGCAAGTACACGCATCTATTCTCGAACTAGAATCGATTGCGCTCTATGTTATTCATGACAGACCAGGTCTTCGATCACACGAAGAGGAAATTTTTCGCTCGATCTTTGAAATATAGGATCTGGTTGAAAATACAAGATAGAATAAACACAGAATTTACTTATCAGCCTGAAATGCGTATAACAATAGTCTTCTACAAAGATAGTATTGAAAATTAATTCAGCTCGTATGTATCTCGACAACATTTATTAGCACTAATTTCGCGGAATCGATTCTTAAGCTTGCTTAAATATTTATTCATCACTTTGAATTCGTTTTTTCGCATTCAATCTCCTGTCTGCCCATTATCTAACCATTAACGGAATGAAAAACAGAATAACCGTTGACTTATTTGACAGGAAACGAGTGAGCGTTCAAGAGAGTGAAGAATTTTATCCGTCATTCTTCTCAAGCCGATAAAGATACGCACAATTGAACGTGATGTAGAGTACAGTATCTTTATTCTCAAATGAAGAATATTATAAAATTATAATACGACAAATATGAAAAATCATAATTATACATTACTGACTTGATGCGATTGTTCTCTTGAATTACTAGTGTAATATAAAATGCTAATAATCCATGGACTAAAGAAGATTTAACTTATGACTGACAACTTTCAAGAGTTAATTCAAAATTATCGATATTGAGGAATTAACTCAGACCTAACATTTTTTAATAATCAATTCAGGACTTACGATTTCCAATAAACATGGGAATAATGATTCTCATGAAACCACTCATGATTTACCATTTTCATAAAACGTCTTAACGATTTTCAAGAATTATCTCACTACCGGTGATCCTAAAGAATTATTTTTCTCCAAAACGAAGAGGATTCGTTTCATCATCTCGGCTCCTTTTGATGCATAGAGTCAACAGCGGCCTAATCGCTCAACGAATTCCAACCGTTCCTCAGAACTTTTTCCCTGTGCGGCTGATAGAATAAATGTAATGAGCAATTAGCGTTGATCTGCATATATGCATGAAACCGGGCGTAGAAAACGGAGATCCTTGAGGGTTTGAAGGAAATACACAGGCGACAAGCTCTCCTTAACTCAAACCGTACATTTGCACGGTAAATAAACGGTTAAATTATACATTGTTAAACAACAGACAGCGTGAAATGGCGGGCGGTCTATTTTTGAAGGTTCCTGGGAAGAAGGAGGACGCTTTTGAATAAAACATATCCACCGGCGGGCATGTCCTGGAGAGTCCATTCTTCCGGTTTCCCGGCTCTCTTACGTCTTCTTCCACCGCGGCTCAGCTCAGCTCTTTTATTTCCCTTTTTCCACCGCTTTTGTCTGCGACGAACAGCCACTTATTCATGGAACGACGGGTTCGAGACTGAGTCACTTCCCTAACAATTAATGTTTCGCGGCGTCCACGTCAGAGCTCCGCGGTGATTCCAGATTAAACAGCATTAAATTCACCGTGTAATCGTATCCGTAGAATTTAAAAGACTCGTTGTTCATCTGCGGCAAGAATGCCGGAGGTCCATTTGACGCTAGAGGAAATCGAGCGCTATACCATTCCGTCATAGAATAATCCCTTTCATGGAGACGAACAGTGTGATGCTTAGAAGGGAACCTTTTCAACCAGCACACACCGATTTTTATGAAATTTATGTGAGACATACACTTTTTTCTTATCAAAGAAATAACGATTTGGCGGCTCGATGACGCATCATGGACAGAAGTGCATGGATTTGCATTGGTTACAGCACTGAAGCGTAATATCATAATGAGAGAACGTTACATTATCGAGGATGACGAACTTGGATTAGTCGCCTTCTGAGTTATGGTCCTCCGTGAAAAATGTGAATGCGCCTCGAGCAAGAACTTAGTGCGCGCGCGGGCGGGGGTGTGTATTGTG